AAATTCCAATCAACAACAATGGGAGAATGTTGGCAGAGCTTGGGGTGCCTTTCAGTCCACCGTCATCAGCACGTGCAAAGAGACATGTGGATTTTCCTGGGTTTTGGTTGTCAGTTGTCCCATTTGGTTTAGCAGGGGTCCAATGTTACCCTTGTTTTTCTTCCGACTCCCCACATATATGAAAAAGGACTTTTTATTGTCTTTGATACATGTATCCAGTTGGAGTTTGGTTGTAGCCTTGGCTTCCCTGGTTCGCTCCCTACAGGTACAGACCAACACAGAATATTACTCCATTGTGGTGATTCCTGTCTTCCATCCTTTATAATCCTCTCTTTTTACATGTAGGAGGTCCATGAGTTCCTTGCTGAGCCAAGGTGGTTGCTGTACCCTTTTGCTGGCTTTCCTCTGAGATGGGATGGACATCCCTTGTGCTTTCAGGATTGGTCCCTTAAGGAGCAACCATTCAACTTGAACTCCCTTCCCTGTTGACTTATGGCCCCTTAGGGCCTCGACAACCAGCCTTCTGAGCTTATCAAAGTCAGCTTTCCTAAAGTCAAGTATTTCTGCATTGCTGACTGACTTGCCAGCTTTGCAATGGAGAGTAAAAGTGATTAGCTTGTGGTTACTGCCTCCCAGCTTTCCTTCAGTCTTTAGGTCACTGACTAGATCATCCCCCTTTGCCAGTACCAGGGACAGCAGTGCTTTACCTCTTGTCAGTCTATAAACTTCTTGAGTCAGGTAGAATTCATCCACGCATGTGAGAAAGCTTTGTGACCATTCAGATTTGGCCAAGTGCTCTTCCCATGAGATGTCTGGGTAGTTGAAGTCTCCCATGACAACCATGCACCAAGAGCATGCAGCGTCAGCCAGTTTCCTGGCAAATTCCTGGTCAAGCTTTTGTTCCTGATTAGGAGGTCTGCAGTAGACTCCTGCCATTGTGTCCCCTATGCCATGTTTCCCATGTAGTTTAACCCAGAGGGTCTCCAGTCATCCTCCATGGGTGCCAATGTCAGCTTGCAGGGACGTGTAGCTTTCCTTGACATAGAGAGCTGTGCTCCCACCCCTTTTATCTGCATGATCTCGCCTGTACAAGGTATAGCCATCTATACCTGTTGCCCAGACATAGGTGGAGTCCCACCAGGTCTCTCTTATCCCTATGAGATCATAGTCATTGTTGTTTAGCAGGAGGACTAGTTCCTCCTATTTGTTCCCCAAGCTCCTGGCATTGGTGTACAGACACATAAGTCCTAGGCCTTAGGCTTCCTTGCACTTCCAGGAGGACACCCTTCCAGGGCTGGGGTCAAAGTGGATTCCCTGTCGTGCCCTAATCTGCATGTTTTGCATTAGTTGCCTAGTGGGCTTGCTTTGGTGGTTGTCCACCCATCCCCCAGTCGGCTTAGTTTAAAGCCCGGTTGAGCAGGTCAGCCATTCTGGCTGAAAAGAACTTCCTCCCCAATGAAGTGAGGTGGAGGCTGTCTCTTCCCAGCAAACTGTTGCCTCTCTCACCAAACAGTGGACTGTGATCTTAAAAGCCAAAGTCTTCACAATGACACCAGTGCTGCAGTCTTCAGTTGACGACCTCAGTTTGTCTCTCCCTCCACAGCTTATGACCCACAACCAAGAGGATCGAGGAAGAGACCACCTGTGCCCCCATCCCCCTAAGCCCTGCTTCCAAAGCCCTGTATCCTCTCATGACCCAACCGGGATTGTTCCGAGCCATGTCATTCATACCCACATGGATAAGGAGCATAGGATAGTGGTCAGAGGGCTGGATGAGCTTTGGGATCCTCTCCACTACACACAAGATACGGACCCCTGGGGGGCAACAGACCTCCTGGGCTAAGGGGTCAGGCTGGCAGATTATTCCCTTAGTCCCCCTCAGGAGGGACTCTCCCACAATGACCACTGTGCGTTTGGTCTTAGGGAGAGTAGGCATGGTAGTTGTTAGTGTTCCTCCCTTGCCTGCAGGAGTTGGCAGCTCTGCAGGCTGTACTGGGGCTACAAGAGGTTCATACCTGTTGCAGAGCTCCAGAGGGTAGGGGACCCTGGTACAGGGGGCCTTGGGGCTGTTGACCACCGTGGTCCAATCCTCTGGCTGGACAGTGTGCAAGATTCTCAAGTCCTCCATTGTCCTGGAAGGTGACCTTGGTTTATCCTCAGCCTTCATGGGGTGAAGGGCCTGGCAGTAGGAGTCAATCTCCTGCTTGCCATCTCTGATGGTACGCAGTCTCTGAACCATGGACTGGAGCTCCATTATCTGGCACCTCAGAGACTCCAAAGTAGAGCAAACCTTGCAATGCAAAGTGACTATGCTCCCTGGAATCATGCCAGGCTGCCCCCACAGCCAAAAGCCAGAGGCTCCATTTGTGCGGAGCCCAGAACCATGGGTTCTGTCTGGGTGGAGATCTCAGAAGTGCCAGAGGAGGAGGTCTCAGACTCCAAGGGGATCCTCAGGGTGTGGCATGTGCCCATCTGCATTGCACCAGTGGTAGTCCGGCTACTGCTGTGACAACCTTCCCTTGGGGCTCACTGGCAGAGCCTTGTGCCCTCCCGCTCACCCTCCTGCATGAACTCCCACACTAACTCGCACGCCGGGCCCAGAAGTGCACCTGTTTGTGCATCCTGTTCATGAAGCCTCGATTGTGTGGCTCCCTGGGGGGCTGAGCCAAGTAGGAGCTGAGGGAGGCATGACCCTCCTTGGCTCCTCTCAGCTGCCTCCCTGCAGCTGGGCTAAGTCCCATCCACCACAGGCCCCTACTTACCTCCGGGTAGGCCAGGGCTTGTTGGATGTCTTGGGGGTCCTGTTGGGGGGCGCTAGGGGTCCTGGGGCTCACGGAGGTACAACAGGCTTCTGTTCATGCATCTATCACTGCAGCCAGGGGCCAAATGTAGTTTCTGCTGTTGACAGGGCCTTTTAAAACTATAATAATACCTAAAATCCCCAACAAGGATCAGGCTCCCCACTGTAAAATGCATTCTTGAGCCAGTCCCTAAGCTGTAGAATTTGCAATCTAAATAGAGAGATAAAAGGTGGGAAACAGAAAGTCTTACTGTTAGACCCATTTTACAGATAGTGTATTAAACCATACAGATTCAAATTTCTGATGAAAACAATCTAGTCCCCCATGACATTAATAGAATTCTGGGAGCAATTTTCAAAAGCACTTAAGTTATGAGCCCAATTCCCTAAATTCAATGGGATTTGTGCTCCTAAACCACTTAGACAGTGGGATTTTCAAGAGTGTCTACCTATCTTAGGTTCCCTGGAAAATCCCAACTGGAAAAACTGACTGGCTTTCCCAAGATTACACAAGAAGTTTTTAACTGCATTAGGAATTAAACCCGGATCTCCTAAAGCCAAGTCCAGTGGCTGACATACAGACCATCCTCATTCTCATGAATGGAGATCTTCAACAGCATAGCTGTTTAGAGCCGGATTGCAACCACTTGAGCAAGACTATTCAGGGAAGGAACTGCTCACCAATAAAGGCTGCATCCTACCAATTGGATTAGAGTTAATTTCAAAAGTTTTTTGTGGGGAGGAGGGTATTTCCTTCAATGTTTTTCTGTTTTCTTAAATAATTGAGCACCTGCTCCATATTTTTTAAATAAAACTTAGATTCTTTAATGCAATAGTGTAATTTTCAGAAATACTGTTAAAGTTTGTCAGCTCACCACAAACCTGCCCAATCTGAGTTCTAATTCTAGGAATATAACTGACATTTCTGATCTAAGCAAGACCTTTCAGACCCAATTTTCAAGAAGAGTTTCCATCAGCACATTCCTTCCAAGACACATTGCTATGCATTTGCATATGAATATACCTAGTTTTTGTTTGCTATTCATGTGCTCGCTACTCACATATTTACATACTGGGGGCCAGGTTGTCAAAAGTCCTCAGCACTAACAGCTCTCACTGGGAATAACAGTCATCACCAAGTGTTTAGTACTTTTGAAAATCAGGTCTGTATTGTCTGAGAGATTATTCTATTGTTCAGTTTTGCATTTTCCTCACAATGCTTGAATGTAGTCCTGTAGCATAATTATATTCTTGTTAACTTTTTCAATAAAATCTTTATTGCAGAATATCCATTACTGGAAAAAATTCAAAAGCCTATGAAGTAGTGGGAGGAGGGATCCAAGTGACTACCTCCATCCTTCAGCATTCTCAGTACATTATGTCTTATCCACATCTATCTTTGAAAAAATCCTCCGATGTCTTTAAATTTATTTGTGCACATAATCCCATTCACTTCAAAGTAAAGATACCATCCTATGTCTACTGACCCTACTTACATTAGAGCACATATGGAGAAAAAAGCAGTAGGCTGTCTTTAAGGAACATGAAGCACAACTAACAACAGCTACAGGTTACGTATAGTTTGAGAGGGGCAGCTTTGATCGGGATATACATGTAATAAAAAATAAATGAACATGGGATAGATTATTGGAGTGTGACACTCCAGGTTTTACTCTACATAGCAGATGGGCCTTTAGCAGATAGGCCTTTCTATTATTTTTTGCCTGGGGGGGTGGGGCAGGGATGGAGAGGAAAAGGGAGGTCTCTTTTGACTTGTGTGGTTCATGATTTAATATATTGTCAGAGCATAAAAATAGACAAGACCCATTAGTTTCGTATCATTCATCCTTTTGGTCCCCCTCCACTACCTACACAGTAAATTCTCTGCTGTTCCAAGTGTGAGATCTGCCTAAGTTATAAACTAACGTTCTTTGTTACTGACCCTGTCTGATCAGCTGCAAAGTCACATCTGTGCACAGTAATTCCATAGCACATCAGTAATAATACTGTGGTTAACTCTCCTATCACAGTAATTTGCTTCTGAGACTTATTAGTGCCTTGTGATTTAGGAAGTTCTAGAAGACAGAAATAATATCTGGACACTGCACCACAAATCCATCCTAAAAATAATCCTCATGACAACAGCTACAAATCTATATCAGTGACTGTTGCTATGCAGTTACAGCAAAGGTAATATATATTTCTGCTTCTTTTGCTGTAGCTGACAACATTTCTGTGGAACTGATTTTAGACAATGCTCACCTCTGCCTCATTATATTTAATATTAAAACCAATACAAGGTCCTTGGGCCAGACCCCAAGGGATTGCATTTGTGTTTCTGGTGCAAATATATTAGTAAACACATAGAAATCTTGGAGCCTGAGGGGAAGATTGCAGCTACTGTAACATTTAATTGTTTCTGTGGCATGGTCTTCAGCATCTGTGTGAGCTGTCTCTATTATTTTAATAAAGAAAATTTGCACTCTGGGATCTTTATTAGTTTTCTCTTATCCTCAAGAGTTTCCCCTTCCAGATATATATACAGCTTCATCTATTCATGCCACATCCCAACTATTTATTTACTGAATGCAATTCTTTTCTTACAAAAAATAATTTAGCAAGCAAAAAACACACCTCAGTCTATAGACTCCAAAACAATTAAAATGAAATCTATGAAAATAATAATTGCCTACATGAATTTATTCTTTTCACTCTTCAAAGAGTCTTGAAAATGTTAATGAATCTGGTGTGGGTCAGAACACCATCATTTTAAGGAAGAAAGTTTCAAAGGGACTCAGTATTAGCATCAGGATCATACAAAGGTAGGGCTGAGAGGGACCGCAGGAGGTCACCAGATCCAACTGCTGACTAAGGAAGTTTCATCCCTATCTAACTCATCCTAGACAAGTATTTATCTAATGTATTCTTCAAAATTGCAGAAGCAACCCTAACACAGGACCTCCGGGTATAATTCCTGAAATATCCAAAACACCCTTTAACTTGCCACAGGTGAAGCAAAGGGATAAGAGCATTGTCAGTGTCCTGCCACTGCAAGGACAGGGAGTATCATATTTATTCACACACAAAATGACCAAATATGGAGTGTGCGTCTTAAGCAGGGAAGGTGGTTTTCCACCCAGAACAGGCATGTGGAAATGTTGTAAGATGTCTGTTACTTCTTTTGCTTTTCTTCTCACCAACTGCTGCATGGTGGGAGGGGCTGAATCTAGCAAGAG